AAATACTAACACAGACTAATTCCAATTTTCAAACATCGATCATAATGTGACATATATTATATATACCGTAATACCGTAGACATTTCGGAGAAAAACGTCGATAACATCGATAACGTCCGTGCCGATTAAATTTAAATTTATGTTATTACTTTATTAGATTAGCTTATAAATTTATTACGACTTGTGGCATTTCGGTATTTTCGGAATTAAATAGAAATAGAAAATAAGAGTACATTGTTGCCAATATAAAAAAAAGTGAGAGTACAAAAATTTTAAGAGCTTTTAAGAATACATGTACTCTTAAAAGAGTACTAATGGTAACCCTAACTTCATCGGATGTTGAAAGAAATTTTTCGCGCTACAAAAATGTACTTACAGACAACCGTCGTTCGTTTGACATAGAAAATATCAAAAAAGTTTTGGTTATTCAATGCAATACATTTACAGGTATGACGGTTACAATAATCTATATGTTAAAATGTTTAATGAATTAAAAAAAAATTAATATAATTTTTCAAATAAATTTTATTCTATATATATTTTTAGATTGAAAAAATTACAATCCATCACAAAATACAAGCCAAAACATTAAGCCAAACATAAAAAATAAATTTTGTTGTATATACGTAGTAAATTTGTTTGCATATTTAATACATTTTATTTTGCATATTTAACATATTTTCATGCATATTTTACAATTTTTTTGTGCATATTTGCATGCATATTTTGCCTTTTTTAACTCCAATAACTTCCGAGCCTAGCTATACTGCAATAGGTTTTTAAATGACCTAATACAATGAAAATGGTTTTCTGTGATATTGCAAAATATGTGTATACAAGTATTAAAAAAATGTGTGTCTGTGGTGGTTCTTTTGAAAATATTCAAAATACTGTATATTCAATTTAACAATATATTAATTAACATATCAAATATAATGCCGAATTTGGAAAAAAAGTCTATGTATTTGTTATATAATAATATGAAAACTTTCTACTATTTATAATATCACTGGATAAACTTATTATTAGGGCTCGGAAGTTATTGGAGTTAAAAAAGGCAAAATATGCATGCAAATATGCACAAAAAAATTGTAAAATATGCATGAAAATATGTTAAATATGCAAAATAAAATGTATTAAATATGCAAACAAATTTACTACGTATATACAACAAAATTTATTTTTTATGTTTGGCTTAATGTTTTGGCTTGTATTTTGTGATGGATTGTAATTTTTTCAATCTAAAAATATATATAGAATAAAATTTATTTGAAAAATTATATTAATTTTTTTTTAATTCATTAAACATTTTAACATATAGATTATTGTAACCGTCATACCTGTAAATGTATTGCATTGAATAACCAAAACTTTTTTGATATTTTCTATGTCAAACGAACGACGGTTGTCTGTAAGTACATTTTTGTAGCGCGAAAAATTTCTTTCAACATCCGATGAAGTTAGGGTTACCATTAGTACTCTTTTAAGAGTACATGTACTCTTAAAAGCTCTTAAAATTTTTGTACTCTCACTTTTTTTTATATTGGCAACAATGTACTCTTATTTTCTATTTCTATTTAATTCCGAAAATACCGAAATGCCACAAGTCGTAATAAATTTATAAGCTAATCTAATAAAGTAATAACATACATTTAAATTTAATCGGCACGGACGTATCGATGTTATCGACGTTTTTCTCCGAAATGTCTACGGTATTACGGTATATATAATATATGTCACATTATGATCGATGTTTGAAAATTGGAATTAGTCTGTGTTAGTATTTGCTACTATGTACTATAGTTACAACCATATAGTTTAGTTCGTTAATTTCACGCTTATGTATCAAGCTACTATTCGTAAATTGTGTTCATCAAAAATGTCTCGCCGAAAATGTAAATTTCATGATAAATTAATAAAAGAATACCCAATGTTTAAAAAAACAGAAAATGAACACGAGACTTTTTGTAAAATTTGTTGTATAATTGTTTCATTGGCCAATAAAGGCAAAACTGATTTAATATAACATTTATCTTCGTCTAAACATTCAAAAAATATTCAATCAACTAGTGGTTCAAGATCTGTGATTACGTTTTTTGTAACACAGAATACAAAAATTGAAGCAAAAATATTAGCAGTTGAAGCCACACTTGCCTTTCATACTGTAAGACATCGCCATAGCTATAGCCTATAAATCTTGTGATTGTTCCACTAAATTATATCGTCTTATGTTTTGCGATTCAGAGATAGCATCTAAAATTTCTTCAGCTAGAACCATGAACTAAGATATGGCTAGAACTAAAACTGAAGCTATTGTTAATAATGTCTTAGCCCCACATTGATTAACAGAAGTTTTAAAAATCATTAATGATAACAATATTTCATTTATTGGAGTTCGTACAGATGGGTCTAACCACGGTACTGTGAAAATTTTTTCGACTGAAAAATTCGAAGTAGTAATAAATATTAAATTCTTAAACATACCTATATTATATTAATTAAATACCCGTGTACCTAATTAAAATTATTAATAAAAACTAATTTTTTACCAAATGTATCATATACCTATGATAATATTATGCATTTATGTATTAAGTATTCATACATAGTTTAGTATATAAAATGCCTTGTTAATTAAATAAATATTAACTATGTAATCAGAGTTTTTATATTATGTACTCTTTTCTAAAAGACACAGGGTGGTAACCCTAGATGAAGTTATGGGTGCGTATTTAAAGTGCGCCAAGTCATTCCCAATTAAGTCTTCTGGTAGTCCTTCCATTGAGGTTGCTTCACCAGTTAAAATTCTTGATATTTTTTTTAATTCATTAAAACCACAGTTTTTTTCCAAAACATTTTTTAATTTTTCTTTGATTGCAGTGCCTGCCTCGTCAATATAATGTGCTCTAACTTATTTTCGACGGATTTCACCATCGCTATTGACTCGTGTAACGGGAGTTTTTGTTTTTCAAGTTGTGTTATTGTTGTCGGTAAAAAACCATAATTTGCATGAATGAAAGTTAAGTTCATTTCCACAGAACGGTCACTTACAATTATTTTAGCTTCTCTAATAGAAACCGCATCGCTCGAATCTAGAAGTTGTAATACTTTGTATATTTCTTTAAAATATTGACAGTAGTATGAAGCTGCTTGTAGCCATGTCCCCCAACGTGTTAGTATGGGCTCCGGCGGAAGTGGAATTCCAGGAGCGTCAGTTTTAAATAATAATGTACGAGACGGTGCTTTCAAAAACACTTGTTTTACCCTCGATATTAATTTATCTACCTTTGGGAAATGACTACGTATTTCTTCTGCTATTCCATGCATTCCGTGAGCCAAAAATGTGACATGTATCATTTTTGAATATAATGCTTTTATAGCTGTACCGGCTTTTTTCATATACGGAGCCCCATCACTTACAAATAAAAGTACGTCATCGTGCCGGATTCCATCTGGCCATAAAATAAACATTGATGCATCAAATAGCTTAGCTATTGTTGAAAAATTAACTTTATCAAGAACTTCGGATGTTAATAAAAATATGTCACCAGGTTCATCTACCAATAATGTTCCGACTATTACGTTCGCAATAAATCTGCCTTCGACGTCAGTACTTTTATCGATAGATACCCAAATTTTATTCCCAACGACATGTTTTCTAATTTTATTGATTGTTTCTTCGTAACATTCATTTAAATACGTTTTTCTTAAAGTAGATTCACATGGAATATCTTTAAGGGTATATTTTTCTAGGAATGACCGAAATTCAGTATTCATAATTTTATTAAGAGGAATATTAGCACACATCATCGACTTACATAAATCTTTTGAAAATTCACACTTTTTGGAGGTACTTGAAGAGAAAAACTGTTGTGTAGTTGATACCTTTATACTATTTCGTTGACGATTTAACAACCGTTCATGTTTATTCGTTTTTACATGCTGAGTAACCGTAAATCGTTTTTCGCAATTCACTTTAACTTCACAGATCTTACAAAATAGAATAGTACCGTCTGTTGAAAAAACATTTTCGCCGAATTCTAAAACGAATTTTCTAGTTTGTGAAATTTTCGGCATATTATAATTTTTTTAAACACGTAGGTAGATTTTACAGAACACGGACGAATTTATTACACGCGACAGTTCACACATGACTGACGGGGAAAATATACTTGCCCATATAATTCAGTCATACACCTATAAATACACTATTATATAGAACAAATCGCTATTAGATTAACGATAACGTCGATAGCATTGACGTTAGTGTAATAAAGATAAATACGCTCCGTTGATACGTCGTGACTGTTAATTTAATCGATAATAAATAAAATAATTATTAGGAAAAACATCAATTTGTTTAGAAAATATTAAATGAGAGTAAAAATTCAATGAAAATTGAAAAATATGCATAAAAAGCATATGAAAATTGAGAAATATGCACTTTTTTCTAAAATTGACAAAATATGCAAAAATATGCACTTTTAATTTTTTTATTTAATCTTGTCATTGTAANTACAAGTGCTGTGACTAATTCAAGTCCAGATTCTGGTTCATCTAGCGAAGAAAATGACGAGAGTGATGATGACATCTTTTACAACAATCTACTAGAAAACAACTTCCCAGAAAATGTAATTGGTGATGATTCTAATGAATCTCAATGCTTCACTAAAAGAAGAAACACAAATTTAGCTGGAATTCAAAGTTCATCATATCTAAACTCAAAAAAAAAAGATTTGACTATGTTAGATTCTTTTAATATTGTTAAAAATGTATTTTTAAAATATAATACAACGTTGCCATCATCTGCTCCAGTAGAAAGACTATTCAGTGGAGCTATACAAGTCCTAACACCACGTCGAAATCGTCTCAAAGATACTACTTTTGAAAAGCTGCTCTGCTGTAGATGCTCTGTTGCAAAATAATATTATATTTAGTTAACTACATAATAATATGTAATAAACTATATTTGTTTTTTATTTTAATAAAGGTATATGTATTTTTTTTTTTTTTAATAATGGTTATGTTTTTTTTTCACTGTTTTTTAATAAATATAATCATAACAATTATGCTCAATAATATTTGAACTATATAAATAAGTGGTACCTATAATTTGTTTCAATAAATTAAAATAAAAAAAACCAAGGTAAAAATACATAATTTATTAGCTACAAAAACATTTATAACTGTATGTGCCAGGTACATATTAATTATAAGCTATTTTATGTTCACATAGGTAAAGAACTAAGCACATTTTCAATTTAAAAATACTAAAAAAAATAATTTTATCTATAATATTATCTAGATAAAGGTTAGATTATCTTTATCTTATCTAGATAAATGTAAAATATATTTATCTTTATCTGTATCTTATCTAGATGGAATTTTCGTTATCTATTCTCAACACTGCTTGTTTATTCGGAGTCATTATCTGGTTGTTTTTGTTTATACTGTACATTGTTCTTAGTTCAAAATACTGGTGGAGAACAAAATACGGAACAATTAAAAAAATTAGTTAGAGTTCCCTTAAAGAAGTATGCTAAATTACTTGGCAAACATGGTGATTTGGAAACGCATAGTAACAATGATTATCACAAAAATGCTACCTTACGTTCTGAAGATTTTGTACGGACAAATCACTGTCCCGACAAACGAGTAGATAATTTATTAGGTACCGAACGTTATAGACAAGTAACTGAAAACCGAAATCGGTTAAAGCCAATTGTTGAATCTATAATATTTTTGGGCCGCCAAAATATTGCGTTTAGAGGACACCGTGACCAAGGAAATTTAACTGATAAACATAATTTAAATGAAATTAAAATATCATCTTCTGTAGTTAACGAAGGCAACTTTCGTGAACTTTTGAGATTCCGTATTGGATCTGGAGATGATTGCTTAAAAAATCACTTGCTTACAACCCAATCAAAAGCAACATATATCTCACATACCACACAAGATCAATTGATTAAATGTTGCAAAGAAGAAATACTAACGATTATTTTAAAAGACATAAAAAAAAATCAATATTATAGTATTATATTTGATGAGACCACGGACATAGCACATATTTCTCAAATGAGCTTAATTTTAAGATATATTGATGAAAAAAATCAAGTTTTTGAACGATTTGTCGGATTTTTGAATTGTCATGATAAATCTTATGATAATGCAAATGTTGACGAAGAACTTCAAGTAAACGAACCCAAATCGACTGGAGAAAAATTAGGAGATATTGTAATATCTATTTTAAAAAGCATGTCACTGGATCTTGAAAATTGTGTTGGTATTGGAACAGACGGATGTTCGGTCATGATCTCTCAACTTCGTGGTGCTGTTCAACAGGTCCAAAAACATTGTATAAATGCTGTACACAGTCCCTGTTCTAACCATGCATTAAATTAATCAATTTCAAAGTCATCAGACGTACAGCTTGTAAGAAATACAATGGGTATTATAAAAAAAATAATATCATTTTTTAAATTATCATCAAAGCGAAATTTTATTTTGAAGAACAATCTTAAAGGATGCAAACGTTCCATAACTAATTTATGCGAAACAAGGTGGGTTGAACGTAAAACTAACATTTTTAAATTTCAATCTTGTTTGTCAGAAATTATAGAAAGTTTAACTGACATATCTGAATGGACTGACCATATTTCTTCGTCAAAAGCTAAAACACTTTTAATGGCTGTAACTTGTTGTGATTTTATTATTACCTTATTTGCATTGACAGACGTTTTAAGTGTTACACTACCAGCCAGTAGACTTTTGCAAAGTTACAATAGAAACATTACAGAAGCATCTGATATAATGGATGGCATTATACTTAACCTCTCTGAAAAACGATCTAATTGTGAATCAGACTTTTCACAATTATTTGAACAAAGTAAGAATCTAATGAATAAATTGGACATTGATTTAAAATTACCAAGAATTACCAAACGCCAAACACAAAGATCTAATACTCCTGCTCAATCACTAGAAGAATATTATAGTCGAGTAATATATATTCCATTACTTGAAAACATTTCAGAAGACTTGCAGTCACGTTTTCTTAATGCAAAAACTAAAATAACATTTATATTGATGCTGCTTATACCATCCAATGTTTTAAACATATCAAATGACAAAAAACACGAAATTCTTCAGACTGTAACAAATCACTATGCATACTTGAATATTAATATTTTAGAATTTCAAGGAGAAATAGAACTATGGAAAACCAAATGGATTGAAAGTAAAAATGAATGTAAGTATTTGATTTATATTTGTCTTTATGTTAATATATTAATAGTATAAATATTTATACTAATAGTAATTTATAAAATTATAGGTAAAACAATTCCTGAAAACGTTTTAGAATCAATTACGCAACGTAATAAAATACTATTTAACGGGATCAGAAAAATACTGATAATATTAGCTACTTTGCCAGTAAGTGTTGCTTCCGCAGAGAGGAGTTTTTCGACGTTACGCAGGTACTTGCATAAAGTTTGATAAAAAATAATTATAGATTAATTGAAATGTTATGTAAGTCTTGATTATTTTTTCTTATTTATGCTTTATTGCTTTATGATTTAATGCTTATTAGGTTAAAAACTTGGTTAAGAAGTCAAATTGGACAGGATAGATTGACTGGTTTGGCATTGTTGCATGTACATCTCGATATAGAACTAGGTGCATGGAAAATAATAGATCGGTTTGCAGAACACAAACGCTATAAAGAATTTGTTTTATAGAATAAAAATAAATAATTGCTAGGTACTTAATTAAAATATTATAATTAGATTTTTATTATTATTATGATTATAAACTAAAGGTTACATATTTGTATCTTTTTTTACCTATAAATAATTTGTATGTATGAAATTTGCAGATCAAAATGACTTGACCGACAATAAGTTACTAATAATTACTATGTTCACTAATAAATTAGAATTAAATAAATTGATAATGCATATATTATAATTTTTTTTTTTTTAAATTGCATAAAAGTCGCCCCCCCCCCTGAAAACAGGGCCAGAGACGCCCTTGACATATAGCATATAAGTTATATACATGTATGAGATATATCCAAGCTCAAACGTTTAATTTACATTTTTATTTAATCATCTAAGTATTGATTGTAAATATAATATCACATAGGCAACTCCATCCTTAAGCTTGTGCAATTCAACATTTACACAACTACACAAGTTATTATAGGATGTTATAGGATATCAGTGGCGAAGCTAGTGGAGGGGGTGGGGGTACCTAACCACCCCCATTAAGATATTTTTTCTCTTAATAATTGAATTACTAATATACGAAAACTATAAAAACTTGGTTTAATTTATACTAACCCCCCCTCCCATTTCAAATTCCTGGCTACGCCACTGTAGGATATTATATATCACTGTTATGTATACATAACATATTATATATAAGATAAATTACAAATTGTTTCAAAAATTCAACCACTTTATTGGAAAAAAAAATACTTGAAGCATAAAACTGAAATATGCTTATGCATGTGTAATGACGTCATCTAGGATTATTTTATTTTTTATTCATTTATTAGCCTGTCTTAACCAGGCTCCCAATGCATCCTTATATTCTTTGTCTGTTGGTTTCTGAAGAGCATATGAAACATATAAAATCAAATTGAAAATTAGAAAATAATAATAAGTAACAATATCAAATACATAAAATAATGACTGATTTCCACACATTAATAAAATTAAACAATTTGGTAAAATATTTATTTTAGATAAAACAAAATTGTACCTACTACATTGTAAGAACATCTGTACATTTTACTATTATATTATGTATTTTCATGGCTTTAGGCCCTAATTACACACATACAAATAAATAAATAATGCATTCAAATATCTCGCTCACCTCTTATGATATTGGATATTTTGTAATGTATAAACCCTTTTTTTGTTCCTTTTCCCTCAACATTAAAATTTGTAGCCACACTGTTTGTCATTATTGAGGCTAACCAGCGATTAATTGACTTTTCTTTGCTATTATCAGTAATACCTGTTTTTACGAAATGAAATTTCTGGAATCATGATTTAAATTATATATTTATTAGTAGGTATACCTATAGTTATAATTTAATTTAACAGAATATTTAGTGATTGAAATGGAATGTTGATGAAAACTGATATACAACAAGTTATATAGTACCTATAGGAACTTTATTAAAAATAAATAAAAAATAAATTACACATTATAAGTTAAATCAACAAGTAAACCAATTATTTTAATAATTTAAAATCTAGATTTTTTAAACATATTATTTATGATTTTAACTGGAAGGTCAAGTTGAAATGACTGTATGAGGAAACATAAAAAAAAAAATAAGATATTAAATTTTATAAAATAAAGTTGAGATAAATTTATCCTTAAGAGGACCCCTACTGGATATTGGTTGTCTCCGCCTTACAAGTACATAACATAGCAAATTTACAATCAGAAGATGATGTTTAGCTCCGTTAGTTTAAAATTCAGAGAGTATCGACCGATTATGAAACTTGATGGTAAGAACATATTCTGTGTTCGTAAGTTTGTTTTTTACGATTGTTCAGTTTTTTAATGTTATGAGAACTTTTAATTTACGCTATATTATATACGCATAACTTGCTAAAAATGTATGTATTGTAAAAAACAAACAAACAAACACAGATAATGTTCTTGCCATCAAGTTTCTTAATAGGTCGAATCAATCTAATTTTTAAACTAACAGAGCTATACGTCATCTGCTAAGCGTTAATTTGCTATTTTACGCACCTGTAAGACGAAGAGAACAAATACCCGGGTGGTGTCCTCTTAATAATCTATAGAATTATATTATTACTCACATATTATTTTAAGGACATTGTTTAATGTAACATAACATACTGATATTATAACTTACTAAATCTTTTTCTTATTCAGAATCATTTAAATTAGCTTCAAGTGTTTCTAGGTCATCCAAAGATGTTTTTGGTAGATTCAATGATAACATTTTGGACCTAATAGACATGACATTTGTGTCTTTAGTCAATAATCTAGCAACAGTTATTTGGATATCTGCCAGGTCAGTTTTCATTATTGATACGTCATAAGCTATTTTATTTAAAAAGGCCATGACTAAAAAGAAAATCAAAAATATTAAGAATTAGAATAAGTTAAGAAGGTAAACTATAGAAAATATTAACTTTGGTTATTATCAATATTGTCATTACTCTTAATTACGTTTATGTTCAAATTCTGGTTTGTAATGGAAGTATCTAACAAAGAAAAGCATACAATTGATTATTTATTATAACTGAATTATTAACTGAAGATTAATTAATATATCATTACGTTTGTTCAATTCGGATTGTTCATTAGGGGTGAGCATGTTGTTAGAAAGAAAATCATCATTTAGTTCTGAACAGCTGATGTTAAATACATTTTGTGTTAATGGTATATTATTATGCACGACTTCATTAGTATACGATTTTACTGGAGCTAAAAAATATATTAATTATTAAAAAGTATATTATATTTACCATGTACATTCCATTTTAATGTTATAACTTTTAAATAATAAAAATAAAATAAACATACTAGATGTGACACAAGCAGTTTCTATATTACTGTCGTCTAAAAAAAAAAACATAAAGATAAAGTACATATTATAAGTGTCTTGAAATCAATTTAAACAAAATACAAATAAAATATATTATTACTTAAATTGAACAAGTTTGAAGATAACCCATCACATGTATCTGAAAAATGAAGTCATTGGTATTATTTTTTTAAATACACACTATTTTAGAGTAAATTTTATAAATTATAAGATACATCTATTTCAAAAAATTTTGTTGTACTAACTTGATCAGTATATATGCAAATAGAATATATTAATACAAGATTTAAAATCACTGAATTCAAACTTGTAGTATTTGTTTAAATTAAGTTGTTTACCTGATGGTTTCCACTGTTCTCCATTCCAAAGAGCAATATTTTTATTCTCAGCTTTAGTGTTAGATTTAATGACAGCAGATTTATTTGACAAGTCTAGTTATGTTTTTGAATTTAATGTAAAACAAGTATTTAGTATTTTATTATTTTAATAAACAGTAAATGGTATTCACCATCATCCAGTTTTTGAAATTCAGGCAAATGGATCACATTTTTTTTTTTTGGTGCCATATCTTCATGAGATGATTCAAATAACTTAACAGCATGTAGTTTTCTCCGTTTTTTGGTTTGTTCAGTAGCTTCTAAATCTGAATGGAATTCTGCTGTTTTAAGTTTTTTTCTTAGTAGTATATATTTGTATGTTCACAGTTCGTTTTTCCACGGTAATTTTTTTTGTTCAAGGGGGAATGTTCCACTCAGAAGACTCAGAATTACCGTAACACACAATACGGTAATTTCACACTCAGTGTCCACCTATTTATCCCTCACACGAAAATATTTACCGTGTACACAAAACTAAATTTTTTTATCCACGTTGGTTACACTGTTT